AAAGGGTACTGGGCAAGTTACAACATACCGTAAGTATCCAAATAAGAAGTTTAATGTTAATAGTATACATATAGAGTACGTGTGTTGTATGTAAACTTGTCCTCTGTTAATGTGTAGGTACTACGAAAACGTATTCAATGCCAGCGGCTGCAATGAGCTGGTTGAGAAGTTTGGCCCGTGGTTCTCTCTGGACCATAGTCCTCGGGCTCAGATATTCAAGAGAAACCAGACAGCTGTCACAGATATGGACTCAATGGTCCGCCTAATGAGGTACAAACTAACTTAAAACGGTAGATTTTATATTTCTTTATGCTAATGACGCAAAACATGTTTTATTTATGAGATGCAGTGTCTCTCCTCAGGTATAATAACTTTAAGGAAGACCCATTGTCAAAGTGTGAAGGCTGTAATCCCCATGCGAATGGAGAGAATGCCATCTCAGCCCGTTCAGACCTGAACCCAGCTAATGGCACTTATCCTTTTGGCGCCTTACGGCAGAGGTCACATGGAGGAACAGACATGAAGGTTCCAATGTTTATCATTTCATTTCTTGCCGTCACTCATTTTTCTGCCCGTACTACTGTCCATCATGATCCCCAAATCTTTTCCGTGTTTGAATCTGACTGTAGCACGTTAAAGACATGTTTGCTAAATGTGATGCGTTATGCGTGTTTCTGTGCAGATGACCTCCTTCGGGATGTTTCGTGACTATGGTATGCTGGCAGTGAGCGGGCCAACATGGGACCAGGTTCCACCCTTCCAGTGGAGCACATCCCCTTACAAAGACCTGATGCACATGGGTCACCCCGATACTTGGGCATTCAAGCCTATAAAAGTCACCTGGACCCCATAATTGTTTTTACGCTGTACAGGTGCTGGTCATATAATTAGAATATCATCAAAAAGTTGATTTATTTCACTAATTCCATTCAAAAAGTGAAACTTGTCTATTATATTCATTCATTACACACAGACTGATATATTTCAGATGTTTATTTCTTTTAATTTTGATGACTATAACTGACAACTAAAGAAAATCCCAAATTCAGTATCTCAGAAAATTAGAATATTGTGAAAAGGTTCAATATTGAAGACCCCTGGTGCCACACTCTAATCAGCTAATTAACTCAAAACACCTGCAACGGCCTTTAAATGGTCTCTCAGTCTAGTTCTGTAGGCTACACAATCATGGGGAAGACTACTGACTTGACAGTTGTCCAAAAGACGACCATTGACACCTTGCACAAGGAGGGCAAGACACAAAAGGTCATTGCAAAAGAGGCTGGCTGTTCACAGAGCTCTGTGTCCAAGCACATTAATAGAGAGGCGAAGGAAAAGATGTGGTAGAAAAAAGTGTACAAGCAATAGGGATAACCGCACCCTGGAGAGGATTGTGAAACAAAAGCGATTCAAAAATGTGGGGGAGATTCAGAAAGAGTGGACTGCAGCTGGAGTCGGTGCTTCAAGAACCACTACGCACAGACGTATGCAAGACATGGGTTTCAGCTGTCGCATTCCTTGTGTCAAGCCACTCTTGAACAACAGACAGCGTCTCGCCTGGGCTAAAGACAAAAAGGACTGGACTGCTGCTGAGTGGTCCAAAGTTATGTTCTCTGATGAAAGTAAATTTTGCATTTCCTTTGGAAATCAGGGTCCCAGAGTCTGGAGGAAGAGAGGAGAGACACACAATCCACGTTGCTTGAGGTCCAGTGTAAGGTTTCCACAGTCAGTGATGGTTTGGGGTGCCATGTCATCTGCTGGTGTTGGTCCACTGTGTTTTCTGAGGTCCAAGGTCAACGCAGCCGTATACCAGGAAGTTTTAGAGCACTTCATGCTTCCTGCTGCTGACCAACTTTATGGAGATGCAGATTTCATTTTCCAACAGGACTTGGCACCTGCACACAGTGCCAAAGCAACCAGTACCTGGTTTAAGGACCATGGTGTCCCTGTTCTTAATTGGCCAGCAAACTCCCCTGACCTTAACCCCATAGAAAATCTATGGGGTATTGTGAAGAGGATGATGCGAAATGCCAGACCCAACAATGCAGAAGAGCTGAAGGCCACTATCAGAGCAACCTGGGCTCTCATAACACCTGAGCAGTGCCACAGACTGATCGACTCCATGCCACGCTGCAGTAATTCAGGCAAAAGGAGCCCCAACTAAGTATTGAGTGCTGTACATGCTCATACTTTTCATGTTCATACTTTTCAGTTGGCCAAGATTTCTAAAAATCCTTTCTTTGTATTGGTCTTAAGTAATATTCTAATTTTCTGAGATACTGAATTTGGGATTTTCCTTAGTTGTCAGTTATAATCATCAAAATTAAAAGAAATAAACATTTGAAATATATCAGTCTGTGTGTAATGAATGAATATAATCGACAAGTTTCACTTTTTGAATGGAATTAGTGAAATAAATCAACTTTTTGATGATATTCTAATTATATGACCAGCACCTGTATATACAGATGATGAAGAAGAAGAGATGAGGAACAACGATACTTAATATATACAGTGAGTACGGAAAGTATTCAGACCCCTTTAAATTTTTCACTCTGTTTCATTGCAGCCATTTGCTAAAATCAAAAAAGTTCATTTAATTTCTCATTAATGTACACTCAGCACCCCATCTTGACAGAAAAAACAAATGTAGAAATTTTTGCAAATTTATTAAAAAAGAAAAACTGAAATATCACATGGTCATAAGTATTCAGACCCTTTGCTGTGACACTCATATTTAACTCACATGCTGTCCATTTCTTCTGATCCTCCTTGAGATGGTTCTACTCCTTCATTGGAGTCCAGCTGTGTTTAATTAAACTGATTGGACTTGATTAGGAAAGGCACACACCTGTCTATATAAGACCTTACAGCTCACAGTGCATGTCAGAGCAAATGAGAATCATGAGGTCGAAGGAACTGCCCAAGGAGCTCAGAGACAAAATTGTGGCAAGGCACAGATCTGGCCACGGTTACAAAAGAATTTCTGCAGCACTCAAGGTTCCTAAGAGCACAGTGGCCTCCATAATCCTTAAATGGAAGAAGTTTGGGACGACCAGAACTCTTCCTAGACCTGGCCGTCCAGCCAAACTGAGCAATCGTGGAAGAAGAGCCTTGGTGAGAGAGGTAAAGAAGAACCCAAAGATCACTGTGGCTGAGCTCCAGAGATGCAGTAGGGAGATGGGAGAAAGTTCCACAAAGTCAACTATCGCTGCAGCCCTCCACCAGTCCGGGCTTTATGGCAGAGTGGCCCGACGGAAGCCTCTCCTCAGTGCAAGACATATGAAAGCCCGCATAGAGTTTGCCAAAAACACATGAAGGACTCCCAGACTATGAGAAATAAGATTCTCTGGTCTGATGAGACCAAGATTGAACTTTTTGGCGTTAATTCTAAGTGGTATGTGTGGAGAAAACCAGGCACTGCTCATCACCTGCCCAATACAATCCCAACAGTGAAACATGGTGGTGGCAGCATCATGCTATGGGGGTGTTTTTCAGCTGCAGGGACAGGACGACTGGTTGCAATTGAAGGAAAGATGAATGCGGCCAAGTACAGAGATATCCTGGAAGAAAACCTCTTCCAGAGTGCTCTGGACCTCAGACTGGGCCGAAGGTTCACCTTCCAACAAGACAATGACCCTAAGCACACAGCTAAAATAACAAAGGAGTGGCTTCGGAACAACTCTGTGACCATTCTTGACTGGCCCAGCCAGAGCCCTGACCTAAACCCAATTGAGCATCTCTGGAGAGACCTGAAAATGGCTGTCCACCAACGTTCACCATCCAACCTGACGGAACTGGAGAGGATCTGCAAGGAAGAATGGCAGAGGATCCCCAAATCCAGGTGTGAAAAACTTGTTGCATCATTCCCAAGAAGACTCATGGCTGTACTAGCGCAAAAGGGTGCTTCTACTCAATACTGAGCAAAGGGTCTGAATACTTATGACCATGTGATATTTCAGTTTTTCTTTTTTAATAAACTTGCAAAAATTTCTACATTTCTGTTTTTTTTCTGTCAAGATGGGGTGCTGAGTGTACATTAATGAGAAATAAAATGAACTTTTTTGATTTTAGCAAATGGCTGCAATGAAGCAAAGAGTTAAAAATTTAAAGGGGTCTGAATACTTTCCGTACCCACTGTATATACATTAGGGGTGTAACAGTACACGTATTCGTATTGAACCGTTCGGTACGGGGCTCACGGTTCGGTATGCATTACGAACCGAACAATACGTTTGAATAATATTAAATTGCTTTTGAAACATAAAATATAGCTAAAATTGGTGGAGCCGCTGCGCTCAAACATGGCAACCCACCCGACGTAACGTGCTGCCCTTCCCTGATTCGCCACGCTCCTATCACGTGACCGTTCCCGGATGTTCACAAACAACAACAGTCTTGATTACCGATCGACTACTAGGTTAATTCAACATGAACAACTGATTACAGGCGTTGTTGACCGTGTTGTCTTTACTAGCAGCTGTTGTTCAGTTAAAGTCTGCATTTCTGTGGAGGAAGCAGCTGTTAATGGAGCGATTAGTGAGCGGCGTGACCAGCGGCGTGACCAGCCCTACGGAGCGGACGTCTGAAGCCACGGTTAGCAGTAAATGCTCTCCAGTAGGACAGATAGCTAAGCCTTCAGCAGAGCTACGAGTGACAACAGACAACAACGAGGAAACGAGTGAGAGACTTGTGTTGACCACATTTATGGACCATAATCTAGTAAACCTTTGTGTGTAAGTGTTGATTTTAATGTAAATATGAGGTGAGAGATATCGAGCAAGACCCCCAGCGCAGTAACGAAGTCTGAAAAATAAAACTTTCCACGAAATGTATCTGTTTGAGTTCATAGAGGAAGATTTAGGAGAAGATCTTAAGTATCAAACACGACCTTTCATTATTAAAGACTTTATTACACTGTCGTATTATTTTAAACTAAGCAACCAATCTACTTCCTGTGTACGTGAATAGTCATGTAATATTCATTACAAACTCTCCCCGCAACGTCTCGGTATCTGTTCCCTCCTGACTCAAACAGGCTAAAGGTTCATCCCTCCTCTAGTGATAAACCAGGCTGTACCAACATGCTGAATGCTATTGAGCCCAGTGACACTACTCCTTCACCAGCCCATTTCTCCAGACCATAATTCCTGCTTTGTAAAAGAAAACAAAAGCCCAAACAGAGAATCAACTCAGACACGCCCCCTTGAGTCTCACCAGAGGATTTGGCATTTCTGCTTTTTTGCTGGATTGAAAACATACCGAAACGTACCGAACCGTGGCACCACTGTATCGTATTGAACGGAACTGAGAATTTTGTGAACCGTTACACCCCTAATATATATACATATACTGTAGTGTGTTGACTGACCTGTGAGTCGACCGTGACCAGTTCTTTGACTCGCAGCATCACTTCCTGTGTGAAGGTTCCCGGCCACAGAACCTGAGACACTAATCCTTTAGAACACGCCTCCTGAGCCGTCAGCTTCCTGCCGCTCAGCAGCAGCTCGTTAGCCTGAAACAGAACCCGTTACCTTAGAACACCAGTGGTTATGCTAATGAGGCTGATGGTGGTTATGCTAATGGCGCTGATGGTGGTTATGTTAATGAGGCTGATGCTGGTTATGCTAATGTGACTGATGGTGGTTATGTTAATAAGGCTGATGGTGGTTATGTTAATGAGGCTGATGCTGGTTATGCTACTGATGCTGGTTATGTTAATGAGGCTGATGGTGGTTATGCTAATGTGACTGATGGTGGTTATGTTAATGAGGCTGATGGTGGTTATGTTAATGAGGCTGATGCTGGTTATGCTACTGATGCTGGTTATGTTAATGAGGCTGATGCTGGTTATGCTGCTGATGCTGGTTGTTAATGAGGCTGATGGTGGTGGTTATGTTAATGAGGCTGATGGTGGTTATGCTAATGAGGCGGATGGTGGTTATGTTAAGGAGGCTGATGGTGGTTATGCGAATGAGGCTGCTGTTAATGAGGCTGATGGTGGTTATGTTAATGAGGCTGATGTTAATGAGGCTGATGGTGCTTATGCTAATGAGGCTGATGTTAATGAGTAAGGTAAGGTAAAGGTGGACTGACCGAGGCCAGGCCCATGACGCGGGGGAAGGTGAAGGAGGAGCATGCGTCAGGCGTCTGTCCGTAGGAGGCGTAGGGCGTCTGGAACCAGGCCTTCTCATTGGCCCACACCACGTCACACAGAGGAAGGATGGCGGCCCCAAGGCCGTGAGCCGGCCCGTTGACCGCCGCCACGATCGGCTTCCTGAACTGGATGAAGGTGTTGACGAAGGTCCTGAGGAAGAGGAGGTCAGATGTCAAAGGTGAACACTCACTGATGACATCACACGGGGCTTCTTCCAGCAGGCGTTACCTGATTGTCTCGGCCATCTTGATGCTCTCCTTCTTCCTGTCCTCCGTCAGCCGTCTGATGAAGTACAGGAAGTCCAAACCGCAGCAGAATACGCTTCCAACGGCGCCGAGTAGCACCAGCTTACTGTCATCAGATGCTGCTGTAGCCATGGCACTCTGGATCTCCTTCATCACCTGAAGACGAGGAGCAGGGAACAATTTATAGGGAAGTTAGAGTGTGGTCTATACCGTGGGGGCGTGGCTTCACCTCAGGGTGTGGTCTATACCGTGGGGGCGTGGCTTCACTTCAGGTTTTATAGTGTATGTTAGGGTGTGGTCTATACGGTGGGGGTGTGGTCTATACGGTGGGGGTGTGGTCTATACGGTGGGGGAGTGGTCTCACCTCCGGATTGAGCGTGTTGTTCTCAGAGCTCTTGGTTGACAGCAGGATGTGAGTGAAGCCATCTTGTTTCTTCACCACGATGTCCCGGTACCGGTAGGCGCTCTCTGTCTGTCGAACACTGAACCTCAAACGTTTGTCGAACGCCGAGCGTTCCTCCAGACGACGCTTCCCTGTCGCACTCGCCGCTCCGGTAACAGCACTCTGCACACCTGATGTCCCATTGGCAGCTACAACCTCCATCAATGAGTTACCTGGAGGAGTTTACATCAGTTTATATGTTACATCAGGTCTTCATGCCGCCATCTTTAATATAAGTTGAGAAAGGCCCTCTGTTTGAGCTTACCTATGCTGCTGAGGGAGCACATGACGCCAGGTGTGACAGGTACTCGTGGTCTGGTCCCCATGCGGGCCCTCTCCTCTCCGGGCCCCAGCTGGACCCCTGCAGGTTTCTCCAGCAGAGCGACCTCAGGTGGGACCAGGTGAGCCTCCTGAGCTCCGGCCTCCAGACCGTGAGCCGCCTCGTCCAGACGGCTGTTCATCGGACTCTTGGGGACCAGGATCTTGATGCCAGTCTTGGACAGGTCCACGCTGCGGCGGGCCGAGCCGGCCGGAGACGCCGACATCAGAAGGCTGCCGAACCGGCCGACCGGCAAGTGCTGCTGCGAGCTGATGGAGGCCGGGCGGATCGGTCCGAGGGCGAGTTTCACCTGATCACATCCTCCAGGTAGACCTCCGACGATGTCACCTCCGATGATGTCACCGTGAGCCATGGGTGGCGGCCTGCAGGGCAGTCTGAGGGCGGGGCTAAAGCGGCGGCTGGGGAAGCTGCGGGTGGAGCGCAGCAACGTGCCGTCTCTCTGCCACTCGGCGTACCGACGGTTGAAGTCGTGGACGTAGATCATACAGGTGGACAGGTGAGTCTCTGGCTCCCAGGTGTCTCCTTCTGAACCGTAACCTCTCCACCGGACCAGGTACTCCACTTTACCCTTCTTACTCTTCCTCCTGTCCACGATCCTCTCCACCTGGTGGAGATGAGTTAACATTTTAACTTAACTAGTAACTCAACTAGTACTAGTTTATTAACATGTTAACCCTTTAACTTATCTAGTACAAACCATTTAACTTATCTAGTACAAACCATTTAACGTAACTACTACAAACCCTTTAATGTAACTACTACAAACCCTTTAACTTAACTAGTACTAACCCTTTAACTAAACTAGCACTAGTTTATTCTCACGTTAACCCTTTAACTTATAGAGTAACTAAACTAGCACTAGTTTATTCTCACGTTAACCCTTTAACTTATAGAGTAACTAAACTAGCACTAGTTTATTCTCACATTAACCCTTTAACTTATAGAGTAACTAAACTAGCACTAGTTTATTCTTATATTACAACTGAAACTTGCTGATTAATTTTCTTTGTTGATACATTCATTGGTTAACTGATGATAGTTATATAGTATTAATAATCTCAGAGTTCAGTCATTAATCACAACAGTCTGAACACCTTCACTTTTATAAATTGTGTGACAGACATCTGTTAGCATCGAGCTAGCACTGAGCTAACACTGAGTTAGCACTGAGCTAACTCTGAGCTAACTCTACAGGCTAGTTACAGAAGCTAGTTAGTACCAGACTCAGACTCTGACTCACTAACGAGTCGTAAAGCTGTTAACTAATCAGTTAACTATCCGGTTAACTAACTAGTTCTGAGGTTCAGCTGCTCCTCAGCTCGAAAAGTTCACAAAGTTTAACTCTCAACTCCGACCTAGCTATTGTTAGCATTTTAGCATTAGCTCGCGTCACCTCGTAGAACTCTTCCGTAGCCATGGAGACTGTGCGCGTGCACGAGCAGCTTCCAGAAGCTTCTTCTTCACGTGAGGAGGCTGAAGACTGTTTAGCTCCGTTAACTAGCTGCCAGGGTTAGCACGGCAGCGTGACGCAACATCCGGTCTGACTCGCTGACCTTCAAAATAAAAGCTGAATATTTCATTATTTCTTTCAACGTAAAAACCCATTAACGATGACGTAATGACGATGTCTTGAAAACCGCATTAGGATCAACCATCCCGTAATTTAAACCGTAACCATTGTTCACAACAGTCCTTTGTTTATACAGTAAACCCATTAAAATATCTAAACTAGTCCATGAATGTTTCCATTAATTTGTCCCAGATATCTCAGCGCTCTGACATGAACCATTAATAAACTCAAATATATAACATTTACAACCATCATGGTCCTAATCAAAGTACTTCTTCACTGGAGAGTAAACCAGGATCAATATGACAATGAAGGCTTGAATATTTTTAAATGCTCTGAAGATGATTAATAACCATTTGTAGTTTTATAAAATGTCGCCTTTAGTTTAAGTTGATAACAGAAAGTCTGAACTTCAATGATGAACTGATCCAGGAGATGGACGCAGACGTGGATTCAGCCGGGAATCAAACCCGTGTGACGCTGGAACAGAAAGTTTGATGATCTGGGAGTCGGGATCGGACCCTCGGGTCCCCCCCCAGGATCGGACCAAGTGGTAGCCTTACGGACTGGGAGACTGCTTGGATCTCTGGTTAAGTGAACGTCTTTATGGCTTATTGCCACGAGAGCAGCCAAAGATTAACGAAGCAGAGACCTTCAAGATCGCAACTTTATTTACCCAATTTAAAATTCTTACAATGACAACAAGATGGCTCCTTTGCTGGAAAGTCCTGATTAGCTCCACACTAGTTGTGATGTCATAAGCCCTCCAGGTGCATCCAGGTAATTCTGAACATTCAACGTCAAACATTAAGTTGACATTGAAAAAACGGTTTTACTTGCAGACAGACTGGGTTGAAGTGTTTTATTTGATCTCAGGTCAAAGACAAAAGAGATGATGGTAAACTATTCTGGATCTAAAGTCTGCATCCCTTTTAGTCGACGGTCCTCCTCCTGATCCGCCTCATCAGTCAGACTTTTTGTTGGACCGTTTCGTGTGGTCATCGTCGTCGTCGTCAGACACGGTGGGTCGGTTCCTACAGCAGAAGTAGAAGAAGACGGCAACGATGGCGATCGGGAAGCCAACCAGGAAGCAGCCGAGCAGCGGAGTCTGGCTGAACACGGGCTGGAAGGACAGAAACACAGAATACGGAGAGGTAAGAGGTCACCGAGACCAGAGAACAGAGGATGGAGAGGTAAGAGGCAGGGGCGTTTCTAGGATTCAAAGAAAGGGGGGGCTTAGCCCCAAGGGGAGTGGCGTGTTTTTTTTGGGGCCCATTTGGGGTCGTGGATATCCATTGTTTCAGACAGTTCATAGATTGTGTGATTTTGCTCTGTAGTTTTGCTTGCATTCAGTATATGATAACACAAGAGACAGAATTTCAGGGTCATAGTGAAATTTGACAACACAAATATGAACTTTTCTCAAATAAAGAGAGAAATAATTTTCCTGCTTGTAAAGGAAAGACGGATAAACTAGCTTTCATATCCGCGTCACTCCCAAATCCTGATTCTTAAAGGGACCGCACACAATGTATGGAGAATGGACCTGACAGTGTCAACTTTATATCGTTCAGTATGATGATAGGCTATTGGATTGTAATTTGAAGGGGGAGAAAACATACAAACCAGAACGCACGCACATATGTAGCATGTTAGAGTTATAAATAACTTGTCCATGTGAGAAACAATAGTTTAATTTAATGACATCACCAAAAAAAAAAATCCAATAATGCCAAATTATTTGGGGGGGGAGGTCCATGAGACAGGAGAACAGAGGGGTAAGAGGTCCATGAGACATGAGAACAGAGGGGTAAGAGGTCAGAGGTCCATGAGACATGAGAACAGAGAGGTAAGAGGTCCATGAGACAGGAGAACAGAGGACGGAGAGGTAAGAGGTCCATGAGACATGAGAACAGAGGGGTAAGAGGTCCATGAGACCGGAGAACAGAGGACAGAGAGGTAAGAGGTCCATGAGACCGGAGGACGGAGAGTTAAGAGGTCTCTGAGACCAGAGGACGGAGAGTTAAGAGGTCCATGAGACCGGAGAACAGAGGGGTAAGAGGTCCATGAGACCAGAGAACAGAACTGATGAGGAACAGGACTTACAGTCAGTGTGACTTTGATGTCATAGACGAAACGTCTGGCGCGCTGATAGACGCCGTTTCCTCCCTGAAACTGAGAAGTCAGACAAGGAATCAGATTTCAGAAATGATCAAACCCGGCTGTTAGATCTTCTTTATCGTCCTCCAGGTGAGTCTGGAGTCCTGACCTGGATGCTGCCATCCAGAACCCCGTTCAGGAAGTCCAGTAGGTGGCGCTCCGTCTTTACAGCGACCAGAGGCAGGAAGTAGCCGTCGCTGGACAGATTCACCACGATGAAGGAGGGCACCACCACCTCACTGACAACGACAAACATCAGGGGAATGGAAGTATACTTGAGTTTACTGAAACATCTCTAGTCCTTTATGTCTCTACATGGACATGTGAGACTAGACTTTAACACACAGCAACAACTCTTAGTTGCCCAAGTCCCAGTGTCCACTGACGAATGTCATTTGTCAAATGTCATTTGGCTGGAGACGTTAAGAACTAAAGACCTTAAGGACTGGAGACGTTAAGGACTAGAGACGTTAAGGACTTAAACACTACCTTACCCCATCACGAGTCCATTGATGTAGTCACTTCCTTCCATGAAACCAAAGTAGAAGTTTCTGGACAGAGAGAAAGACAGATTCAGGTTTGTGTCTCAGTACCTTGTCCTCTTATGTCTTTGTGTCTTAGTGTCCAATGAGACTCTGACCTGCTGTAGAACTCTCTGTAGTCTGCAGACACTTTCTCCACAAGACCTTTGTACCTGAACAGGAAACAGGAAACACATCACAGTGAGGTCGGAGGACGGATGCTGTCATGGTTAAGTCTTGTGGTCTTACCTCACGCTCTCCTCACACGGTGTCTTCTCCTCCACCAGCGCCAACACCACCAGTTTACCTGTCGGACAGAGGCGGAGTCACTTCACATGAACCAATCAGCAGCCTCGGAGCTGCAGTTCCTCAGATGTCCACTAGATGCTGCTGTGATCTCACTGTAGTCACGTGAATGAGAAACTTCTACAAATAATATAAATATAAATACCATATAGTAACAAACAGACATTTACGTTACATATCAGAATAAAACATAAATAATGCTAAAATTAAAGAAATATGAATAAACCATTTACAACTGTTTAATAGAAGATAGTTAGAAGATAGTTACTGCTCTACACAAACTCCTTTTGTTTGTGCTTCTATTAAAAAACAAAACCAGAAAAGTTTGCTTTGTGTTTGTAAAATTGACCCATTAATGTCCGGCCCAAAATTACAACACAATATTCAGTTTTATCCAATAAATATCCGTTTACAATTAAAAATAATTAACCTGATGAGGGGCGACCATTCAAAATGTACATTTACTTTTTAAATCTGTGAAATCTTAAATTTTCCAATAGCAGGAGTAAACATTTAAAATGTATTTATTTAATATGTTATTGTGTAAAATCTTAAAATTCAACTAGACTGTGCATTTGTTGGAGAAACACGAACCAACTGGAGATGATTTCAACCGCCACAGTCACTCAATATTATAAATTCTGTCATTTAAAGTTGTCTTTGTACAGTGGCACCACTTATAGGTGAAATGCTTTATGTGCGGCTATTAATATTAATATTTAGTGATTGAAGAAATATGGCTGTTGTAGGAAATTTGGGTTTAGAACTATGTTTTAAGAAATTATAATAGAAGTGTTTAATGATTCATAAATAAGAAATCATAATTAGAAATGTTTTGGAATACATAATTGGAAGATTCATAATTTTAGAAGTGATTTGTAGTTAGAAGTGTATCTTAGTAGCACCTTTATATCTATGCTTGTGAAACTTGTGACGCTTTTGCCAAAAGTTACAAATCCTTATCTTTATATAGAATGTTTACCATAGAAGTGTTTAGCCATAAAAGACAGTCATTGAATGTATTAAACTGTGAAGAATAGCCAAGGGAAAGTCAGACTTCTAGACAGACATTTGCAGGTTGTACCCGCGCGAGGGTTTTCGGAAGCCTGACGCCAGGAGGAGGCAACTGAAATTAGCCAATAGGAATTAAGATGGACAAAAGGGAGGGGATTTCAAGCTGTAAGAGGAAGTGCTGGAAAGGAATTCACTCTCTTTCTTCTTGGCTCTGAGCCTGGAAACATATGTTTCTCCAGGCTGAGTCGCGAGTGAATAGCTTTTCCGTGCGGATCATATATTATATATTCTGTTAGTAGTGTACTTCATTCTGTAATTGTATTAGCTTCAGTAGGATTAAATACTTTTTAAATTGTAAACCAGTTTATGATAGATTTATTAAGTAGCGACTCTACTGTAGAACAACAATGGAGCATGCTCTCCGGCCTTCTCTCTGTGGGGAAGATTTCAGCCTCCACACTGTTTTATAAGTGGTCACATGTGGGCGCTACTGAGCACCTGACCAGGTTGATGTCATAAGCATCATTTCGCTCTATATATTTAAGATATTGATGCTTTTATAGACATAAGTTTGTGTGAGGAGAGGCCAGACAACAGGAAGATCATGAGGTTTTCACAATAAAAGTCCAGTGAATGCGTGTTTCCCTGTGGGTGAAACATTACCTGACTCTCCCATAGCGTACAGAGTGTAGCTGTCGATCCTCAGGTAGTTTGGGAAACGTTCTCTGTTGATCCACGACTTCAGATCACCGTCAAGTTCCTCTGAAGCACAAATATAAGTCATGAAAGAGCAGAACAGGAAGTTCTCAGAGTTTACCACCAACCACGGTGTCTCGAGGTTAAAGGAAAACCACAGTGTCTCGTGGATAAAAGACAACCACGGTATCTCTTGGTTAAAGGAAAACCACGGTGTTACGTGCCGTGTTGTGTTGTGTTCTCCCTCAGTCTTCTCGAGTGCCACCCTCTGTCCCGGATGCCAGCTGCAGCGGCTGATTGAACGCAGCCGCATCCAATCGCGATTAGCTGTAGCTGGTGGCTAAAAGGAGAGGATCTCCTGAAGGACGATCTCTCTTGGGCAGACCACAGTAGTGAGGCTGTGTGCGTGAGCTGACAACCCTTGGGCAACGCGTAGTGGTGGAGCTGTGTGTGTGTGTGTGTTGCTGTGGACCATTGTTGCACCTTTGTTCCAGCTGTGTGGGCTGTTGTATGTCCAGTGTTGCTTTCTTTTTAGTAGTTTTCTTTTGCTGCCGTGCAAGCAGCTAGCCCTTTTATAATAAATACCCTTTTTGTTAACCGTCATCGTTGCTCAGTCTCTTTTTCCCCGGGAAAATAACACCGTTACTCCCCGCATCCCTTAGATGCCAGAATGGGGAACGTAACACACGGTGTCTCGAGGATAAAGGACAACCACGGTGTCTCGAGGTTAAAGGACAACCACGGTGTCTCGAGGTTAAAGGACAACCACGGTGTCTCGAGGTTAAAGGACAACCACGGTGTCTCGAGGTTAAACCTCTGTCCACTGAGCCACAGACAAACCTACTTTGTATCTGAGATAGAACATAATGAACATCAGTAATCAGTTGTGTAACAGGAGGCCACTCAGAGGTCAGTGTCTTACCGTCAAAGGTGAAGTAGGTTCCATCTTTAAAAACAACCACAGCCGGCAGAGTTGAGAGGGACACCACCTGGACACATGGACCAGGTTTAACCAGAAACACTGACAAACCAATTCAGGTCGAGAGACATTTTACATCTTCTGTATGTAGGTACTGTCCTGTAATGTCCTCTACCGTCCTCTCTTGTCCTCTACCATACTCTCTTGTCCACTTCTCTACCGTCCTCTCTACCGTCTTCTCTACCGTCCTCTATCGTCCTCTATCGTCCTCTCCTGTCTATCATCCTCTATCATCCTCTCCCGTCCCCTCAGTCAAACCTTTGGCAGGACGTCTCTGGATGAAGAGAAGAAGAACGTGTGAACGATCAGTTCTTCTGCTGCTGACGTGTAGTTTCCCTAAAAACACACCGGAGGTCAGCTGTGTGTTTTTAGTGTTTAGAAACTAGTGCTGTGTGTGTGTGTGTGTGTGTGTGTGTGTGTGTGTGTGTGTGTGTGT